TTGCTTTCTTATCTCCGGCAACCACCACGACATCTGAGCTCCTAGCTCGCCGCAGAAAGGCATTCAGGGCGTCGTAAAACCTGTCCTTGACGGCGTCGGAGTTACAGTCAGTTGGGACGTAAGCGGACACGACGAACAGACAGCAATCAGCTTCCCGCCTGTGATATTCCTTCACAGACGTTGCCAGACGAACCGCGCAGAGGTGACTATCAATAGGTATCCAGTAAAGCAACGATACTTCCGCCCGGTGAATTAGGACAATAATAAATGATCGTTCAGCCGCAGCATCCTTTTGGTGCTTAGCTGCCAAGCCACACGAAGGAGGCACGAGGGCTGGGATACTGCCAGGTCGCCCACGCTTAGACAGGGGAAGTCGAGAGGCAGAGGTCGGGTTCGAACCACGAACCTTCCGGTCAGTAAATTCGCGCTCTAATTACTTGGTCCATCTCGCCCAATACCAACCACAACACCAATCCCTGCACATCCCGCTGCAGCAGCCTTTGAATCCCCAGAGATGCGCAGCTGAAAGCGAGTAGAGACCGACGGACCGGTTAGCTCAATCACTGTGCTTGCATCTTGAATTCCCTTTCTGACACACCAGCACGCATCAATGCCAAGCGAGTCCAGTGTGCGCGCAAGAGCAGCTTGTTGTCCTGATTGCTGCAGAGTGTGGACATTGAAGGCGGCCAGATAGGGCGTCGAGGCTTGAAGATTGATTTCGAGAGACCTGAAAATATCGGCGCCATTTAACACCATGTTGAGCTCAAAACCGATGCATGACGAACGGTCCTCAGTCCTAAGTGTTGGTCCTACAAGGAGAGAGTTATTAATGGGGTGGGGAGAGGGGGGAGAAAAAGTATGTGAAAGAGGAAGAAGGGAGGCGTCAGCAGTAGCCTGTTTTCGCTTACCTGCCCTGCTGTATGCAGCAAGTAAGGCGACCCGGCTGATGGCATCACGCGACGGCCGATGAGAGTATTGTTAGTTGTGTCGTGATTGTACGTGAGCTGGGATATTGTTAGGGCGTCCATACCTGGAAAGGTGGACGATTTTGGTTGTCGACCAAGGCCTTTGGCTCAAAAGCTTAACCGCAAGGCATCGGTGTTTGGCGGGAAATGCAAACGATTTACAATTTCCACGGAACAAGTTTAATGTTTCAACCCCTCAACCTGGAGGGCCAGGAGATTGTTTTTCAGACCTCTAACCATTGGCCAACCTGGTATGAGAGACTGAGTGTCGCTGAGACACTCCGCAGTATAGCTCAATGGATGGCTGAGGCACGCAAGCCGCCACGCCACAGTAATTTCCAGTCTCCGCCCTCAGTCTCTAATAGCTTCTTTTCCACCCCCCCCCCTCCGCTTGACAACTCACTGACAGTGCTGGATTTATGCACCAATTTACCAGCTCGCGCGTGCAATGCGCAGCTACTTACCCCCCAATCATCGGTGAACGAAACTGTGGCAGCTACAACCAGTGTACGACCAGTACGCGGTTATTACAGCTGATAATGATGATGATGATGAATTTCCAGTCTCTTCGTGACACTAAACACTTCGGAGTCCGTTTTAAAACCCCAAAAGCCTGTCTACTTAACCGGCTTTAATGTTCGCACACTAAAGCAAGCGGGTCAACAGATGGCTCTTTCTAGTGCGCTGGATTCCCTATGCATTTATGTATTTTGTCTGTCAGAAACAAGGAGGAAGGACACAAGTACTGTGATCTAACCAACTGCTTCCTCGATCTCTTCCAGGTTTCGGCTGTGCATCTCTCATGATGCAGAGGCTGTTGTAGCTGGATATGCTGGGTTGGGTGTTGTGTTGAGTGACCGAGAAAAAGCCCCTCTACTGGATTGGATATCCGCTGATAGTCGCCTCTGTGCAGTTCACTTGGCAACATCTGAGAGAAACGTGAGGAAGAAAGGTCCATCGCACCTTGTTTATTGTCTGCTTACGTTCCAACTGTCTGTAGCTCCGAATTAGCCAAGAACAGTTTCTACGATGCTGTAAGTACCCTTCTAAAGCGGGCTAAAAGCTCAGCTATCGTTGTGGTTGCTGGTGACTGAACGGCCAGGCAGGTAGACTAGGCGCTGTTGAGGCCCGATTGGGTGGTCGTCTTGGATTAGACACGAGACGCACGAACAAAGGAGATCGCTTACTTCAGATGTGTGCCGATCACAGACTGCTCCCGTGATTTCCTGGATTTTCGATACAGTGGAAAACACTTGATAACGTGGTGCCCACCAACAAACCAGACACGAGTATAAATAGACCACATCGCCGTCAGTAATCAGTAGCGAGCTCGATCACTGCTTGCTGCTCCCTCTGGAGCACCAGCGTAGACTCCAACCATGCACTTGTACGCTGTAGCTTTTTGCTCTTTTCAGGTCTACGAGAAAGAGCGCACACCTAGCTTAGCCAGCGAGAAGCTAGTGGATTCAGAAGTCAAACGAAACTGTCAGAACCAGCTACTCGAACGTCTGCAGGACGGCTCAGTGTTGGACAAAAACGGTCATTCGGAAAAGATATCCAAAGCCCTTCTTAAAACCGGAACTACTTCTTGCGATACAACCTAGCAAACCTCATCCAAACATTGGATCTCTGGTGAGAGCATGTTTTGCTGGAGGCCCGGCGACAGAGTTTTCCTAGCCGCAACCACAACAAAAGGGATTCCGACCGGGTAGAGGCTACGTTGATCACACCTTCATGCTCCGTCAAGTGTTAGAGCAACGCCACATGTACAGACGACCCACGATCTTGGTATTCCCTTACTTCAAGGGTGCGTTCGATACTATCTACCGGTCAGCACTGTTAACTAAATTGCTCAACAAGTTACGCCCCAGAAGTTTGTGAACATAATACGATCCCTATACTCACAAACCTCTGGGCGGGTGAAAGTGCAAGGTGAGCTCTCCAAAGGATTCCCTACAAAAAGTAGTATCTGACAGGGATATCCACTCCGCTCTTGTTCAAATTCATCGTTGATGAAATAATGAGGATATGCTGGAAGGTCTTCAAAGCCCTGATGTTCAAATCGCTGCCGGTGAGAGCCTTGTCGACCTGGAGTACGCAGATGACACCGCCCTCATCTTTGAAGACCGAAGCGAAGCAGACGCCGTTGAATAGACTGACCGCCATCATATCATCTTTTGGCACGCGTCTTGCACCTTAACAGTGCAAAGTTGTGATTCGGGACGTGTGGTCTATGAACATATCACTTACAATTAAAAGAGAATCACTGGAGGTTGTGGAAAATTTTACGTACGTTAGTAGTCATATTAGCCCTGACAGAAATGTGTCTGATGAAGTAGGCGGAAGAATTTCAAAGGGTGGAACAGCTTTTGCTAATGTACTTGTGGCATATAACTAAAACTTAAGGATCGCGTCTAGCAGGCTACAGTAAGGGTTGTGTTGCTGTGTGGGTGCGAGACATGGCCTATGCGGACAGGTGTGAAGCGTCTTCGGGTTTTTGACCACCGATGTCTCAGAAGCGTGTCCGGTTTTGAATGGCGTCAACATGTTAGTAACCAGGCGATTAGAAAACGGGTATTTGGTTGTGCTGCAGGTACCTCAATCGGGGAAAACATCCAGCATCCTCAACTACGATGGCTCGGTCATGTGCCACGCATACCGAAACACCGTCTACCGAGACCAGTGTTGTTCTCCATGCCTCCTTCAGAATGGCGCAAACCGCGAGGCGGACAATGTATGAAGTGGTTGAAGAGAACGAGAGATCATGAAGAGTTTGGATGTTTTTGGTGTTGTACGCCTTCCAGGACGAGGCACCCGTGACCCCGCCTGTGCTTGGTTGGAGACGTTGCAAGAAATGGCGGCTAATTGATGTCAGCGGCGTATGTGCAGTTTCTCACGTACGTCAGTTTCTCTTCAGATTGTCTAGACGCTAGGAGGTGCAGGCACCTCAGAATGTTTGCTGGAGGTTGTGGAAAATTTTACGTACGTTAGTAGTCATATTAGCCCTGACAGAAATGTGTCTGATGAAGTAGGCGGAAGAATTTCAAAGGGTGGAACAGCTTTTGCTAATGTACTTGTGGCATATAACTAAAACTTAAGGATCGCGTCTAGCAGGCTACAGTAAGGGTTGTGTTGCTGTGTGGGTGCGAGACATGGCCTATGCGGACAGGTGTGAAGCGTCTTCGGGTTTTTGACCACCGATGTCTCAGAAGCGTGTCCGGTTTTGAATGGCGTCAACATGTTAGTAACCAGGCGATTAGAAAACGGGTATTTGGTTGTGCTGCAGGTACCTCAATCGGGGAAAACATCCAGCATCCTCAACTACGATGGCTCGGTCATGTGCCACGCATACCGAAACACCGTCTACCGAGACCAGTGTTGTTCTCCATGCCTCCTTCAGAATGGCGCAAACCGCGAGGCGGACAACGTATGAAGTGGTTGAAGAGAACGAGAGATCATGAAGAGTTTGGATGTTTTTGGTGTTGTACGCCTTCCAGGACGAGGCACCCGTGACCCCGCCTGTGCTTGGTTGGAGACGTTGCAAGAAATGGCGGCTAATTGATGTCAGCGGCGTATGTGCAGTTTCTCACGTACGTCAGTTTCTCTTCAGATTGTCTAGACGCTAGGAGGTGCAGGCACCTCAGAATGTTTGGCATCATCATCATCACTGTCAGCTGTAATAACCGCGTACTCGTCGTACAGTGGTTGTAGCTGCCGCAGTTTCGTTCACCGGTGATTTGGGGGGCGGGAGGGGGGTAGGTAGCTGCGCATTGCAGGCGGGAGCTGATAAATTGGTGCATAAACCCAGCACTGTCAGTGGGCTGTCAAGTGAGGGGGGTTGGAAAAGGAGTTATGCATTGGAGGCAATACCTTGGATGCACGAGCGCCATTGACGGCGCGACTGGGCCATGTCTGACAGTGCCTCTAGCCATTGATGTGGCCCGTCTCGGGGTTCCCGTGCAGGAAGACGGCAGTGACCAGCGCAGCTGAGTTTGCTGGAGAAGGAAAAGCGAATCTCTTCTCACACCTATTCGTTTTCTCTTCTTTTCACTCCACGGCTTTGAATATAATCAGGTAAGAATTATGGTTGAACGATAGTGAAGCATGACTGTCAACACTGATGCTGCTGCATTTGACGATGATGAGTATGTTTAGAAAAAGCTAGGTCACGGTATGTTCGGTGGTTTCTGGGGCCTTAAAATCTCCGGTAAGCATTGGATTTTCATCGGTAGGGTACTCCGTGCTCAGTGACTACACATCAAGCCAGTCACCTTTTCTTTTTGTAAGATGCAACGGCAGACTTCCACATCCAACAGAAATATAGGTCTTCTCGAATACTAACTCCGTCGCTCTCGAACGAAACTTATGACGTACTCCTCAACTCTGCGCGTGACTGAGTTTGCCAGGTTCGCGACTGCTACGATGCCGGAATCATTGACAGTCCTAACTGTTGCACGCACTGGTGTATTATGCGTGCATGGTGTATTTTAAGTGGATGAACATTAGGCCAAGGGGGCGTCCTTGTTTTCCAACACGTCCAGAACCCACGTTTAAAAACCTCATTGCATGAAGGCGTTTAAGGAGACGATTTCACCCAAACCCTGGCCTGGTCGGTTGAAAAGAACACACTGAAGTGATTTCAGTAGTACTTCATTTTCGTTTCGGCAGTTCACTGGGCATGATTAAAAGCCTCAATTGGGGACTGTTACTGTCTAGGTAGCGTCATAGAACAGTTGGAATCTCTCCATAGCCGGAAAATGGGTCTAATGTTGACATTTGAAGCAATGCTCCTATGAGAGCGAAATATGGTGCATATCGCCATTCCTTTGTCCTATTGGACATTATTTCAGACCCTCTGGATCAGTGTCTCTGGGTTCCCAGGGCATAGTACGCATCATACCGGATATGGGAAAATATTTGGGTTAGCGTCCCTCCAACGTCTTTAAGTTTCTCCCTCCAATAACGCAACCCACTCGATGAGGACCGTGGGGCGAGATGGCTCAGTGGTTAGGTCACGAATTCACTGACCGGAAGCTCCGCGGTTCCAATCTGACTTCTGCATCTCGACCTTCCCTGTCTAGCATTGGGCAGCATGGCAGTATCACAGCTCTCGTGCTTCCTTCAATAGGCACGATTTCGATATTTTTCTTAAAATAATCGTTCAGTTGTAACACCTTGGTTGCCTGGGAAAATCCAATGTAAAACTACCTGAAGGAGTCAAAGCTGCTACCTGATCAAGGAACTCCATAAATAGTGCAACACAGCCAACTCGGGCTCTTCATATAACACACACTGATACTCTAACTCTCGTGCTCAACACTCGAAAACCCGGTGGGTATATGCGACGTTGATTGCCTGGTTAAAAACGAAACGAAACTATCGAGAATGGTTTAGTTATCACTATTCGATTGCTCCTTGTCTGCATCCGCCAGGGGTCTTGAATACCCGATTCTCTCACAGATACTGCCAAGAGATTCATAGAGAACGAAGAGAGAAATGAGGACGCGAAATTTAGAAGAGCCCTTGAAAGTTCCAATTTTGTGTTTAACGCGTTGCTCCCTCTAAATTTTTGTTTTTAAAATGCCAAGTCCAGGTAACTTCGTACAGAAAAGACAGGATGAATAATATTTCCGGCCAAAATCTTCACGACGAGCCAACACGTAAAGAAGCCCGCCTCTTTCTAGGTGCGGTACATTGAATGCTTCAGTTCAAAGAAATGCATGAGGTCACGGATTCGCGGATTAATGCGCTGGATCGAGGCGTTCGCCCAAGTTTCCAGGGTCGGTTTCGTTATTGTCGTTCACCCGCTGCCGTTCATCGGAAAGACACAAGTGAATAAAGTATGTAGAACTGCTCTTCAAATTCTCAGCGTGGTGCAGAAAGCTAGCGAGCGCGAAGATTCGCATTAAAACTCTTTTAACAGTGCTTTGAATTGGGAAGGCGCCCATTAGTCGCGCAATGCTCTTAGCTACAAAACCCTCATGACTGAAATAAAACATTTTGAACCGAAATGTTGCATCTTGTTGCGTATTTGCTCAGAACAAAAAACATTCCAATCTACGTTCATATTATTGCAGCACCAAACTTCATTGTCAACTGGAGCAATCATACCTCTGGCGAAAATGTCTGGTTGGATAATTTCTCAGCATCGCTACGAGTCCGGAATGCTTAGATTGGGCTCAAAAGTTTGAACTTGTACTCTGAACTCAACCGGCCGGTTGCTTAAGTCCATCAGGAAGACGTCATACCTTTAGAAAATTATATTCCATTGTGCGAGCACTGAGCACCAAATCTCCGCACACTATTCCCTCTATTACTCCGCACTTGTTCCTATGAGCCTCCTATATAATCTCCCTTAAGCAGCAGTTCTTTCTCTCCGTACCCTCCTCTATCACTATTCAGTGATGAGGGCGTTACAAGGCGGAGCCATCTCCATTCAACTTGCCCTCGATATACACTCTCCTCCCTTGTTGCTTAAACACTGCACGAGGCCACCCGATTCGCATGAGTTTAATCCCGCTATTTCGGTTCGACTGCCACATTTACTACTACCTCTCGATACCACCGATACAGCAGTTATAAACGGTTAAAAAAATCAGCGTGTGACTGGTCCACGGGTCAGTGCGCGGGTCAGTGAGTGATAACTCCGTCGATACAGAAAGCTGCATTGATTGCCCAAATGAACCCATCTTCGTGGTCCTCTACTTTACCCCTCATTTTGCTTGCAATTCGCTCCACTATTAAGGAGGATCTTCACTGTTCACCAGCTGAACTAGTAATCGGTGCAACTTTGCGTTTACACGGTGAACGGGTTTCCCCTTCTGGCACACAGCCAGAATCACCCGTTACATTCATCTCCTGTCTGAAACAGCACATGTCCGAACTTTGTACAACACCGACCAGACGATCGACGCAAACAGAACACATCTCAGCCGATCTCTCTTCTAGACCATTTGTATTTGTCCGACATGAAGCAACGAGGAAACCCCTCCAACCCTGTTATAATGGCCCCTTCAAGGTTATCGAACGTCACTCCAAATACTTTGTTTTAGAGAGAAGCGGAACGCACGATACCGTCTCTATTGATTGCCTGAAACCTGCCTACATTGAAGCACCCACGACCACATCCAGCAATCCTGCTATCCCAACAACACCCACACCTACCCAAGATATCCCTCCTGCCAACCTCACTCCTTCCACTAGTCGTTCCGGACGTCGCGCCCGTTTCCCTCAGCACTTAGCTGATTACGAAACTTGAAGTGAGCAACTTGTGATTCGTTACTTTATTTATTCGAGCGTTTTCCCTTTTCATGGTCAACGCTCTAGTGGGGGGAGTAGTGTGGTGTTTTGTACCTTTATTTTACTTCCATTATAACACTACGTATTTCATCAATTGCATAATCGCTTTTTGTTTGAATACGAAAAACTAAAAAAACGCGCACTTGGACAATTTCACAGAATACAAGCATGGTCACGTGCTTCGACTCTCTCTTCTGATTTCGCTCGCGCTTGCAGCGGTCATTCGCGAGTCTCATGTACTAACTCTGGTATCAAAAATTTCAGGCACCTTCGGAATCTATTATATGTGGGAACTGTTCAGATGAAGACCTCTGGACCAACATAATTGGATTATTGTTTATTCGCTGACCTGGGCCAAGGACGAACTATTGTAAAGAGAACAATTGTTGGTGAGTCTGTTCCGTCTGGTCTCTTTATTTTTGTATACCCAACCTAGCGTAATCATTTTTGTTTCTTTGCCACACACTCCTGGTAAACTAACTTATTGGGTTGCCATTCCACTACAGGTCCTGCTATCCTCATCACCACCTTAATAATCCTCCTATCCATCACTGCACGGCTCCGCATCGCATTCTCACACGTCACTACCCGCTGTATCATGAGTGCCCTCTACCGGCCACGCCTACATTGAACGCGCCAGACTACGCGACAACGAGAAAGGAGAGCTCTGGACACGACTGTTGTTTCAGCACAAGACATACAGAGCTTCTGCGTAAATACACGTATGGTCGCTCACCTGTTCGTTCTGTACGGCCACTGGTGCTGTTTCGGCCGTGAACAATGTCAGCCCCACTCCACTGGTCGTATATTGCTAAACCGCTTTTGGTTAGCTCAGCCACCGCACCTGCTATCCGAGACGTGTCGTGCCGATGGTGAACTTGGGGATGAGTCAGTGTCTGCACATGTGCTCCTTTCATGTCTGGGCGAGTCATGGCACTCTTTTATTTTATAGAATATAGTAATTTTTCAGCCTGCGATTTATTTGCAACCGTTAAACTGGAATTCTTCGCTGTCCAGTTCTTCATTGCAACGGGCCGACACCAATGTTTAGTTTCGTTGACTCATTTTTTTGCATCTCGAACGTTTCGAGAAGGGTGTCTGACGTAAATTCGCTCTTCTTTCTTGGATTATATGGGGTCATGCGCAATGTCGAATTTGATTAGCATGCCAAGCCAACACCGTTCCGCCAACATCTACTTCATAAAGTACGTCTCCTGAGTAGTCTCCGACAAAGGCAGTCTCCATGATTGTAAATACGTCCATTGCGACATTTACCGTCAAAGTTCTCTGATTGGGCTTCTTCGCCTGTCTCTTTAGTTTTCCCGGGACGCAGTGCATCAAACAAAGTTTTCACATTCCTCCTAAACATAAGCGTGGCTGGAGACTTCCCATTATGGGAACCCAACCGAGTGGCGCGGGAAATCATGACCCAAGGATTGCGAAGTCTTGATGTCCACCAGCAAAATGCATGGGTGCATGTAAGAGAAACGAACCCCAAACAAAGGGGCATTCCGTTGAACTGTTGCACGAATTCGCGCAAATCCAACTGAAGCTCTACAAGAACCGGAACTTGGTGTGAATTACCGACAAA